GCCCCAGGTCCCAAGCATGACCCACTGGGCAGCAGCCCCAGCCCTGCGGGGCCTCGATCCCTCTTCCGCCCCCCATTTACCTGCTGGAGCTGCTCTGCAGGCTGCCTGGGGCCATGTGCATGTACATGCACGTGGCACCCCCTTCTCGTTGCCTTCCTCCCACTCCCTTCAGCCTGGAACTCTGCCAACCTGCAGGGAGCTCACTAAAATGGCAAAATCCATGGGTTTCTCTTGTAAAATGAGAAATCCGTGTTTGCCTCTGGTAAAAAGGTAAAATTCGTGGTTTACTCTATTTTTCCATGTATTGTTAAGAGGATGTTAATTTTAGGAATTCTGATTTGAAGTTATATGATGTATTGGAGGAAATTCATTGTTTTATCTAAATTCCTTCAAATCGCTGATAATCTCGGTTCATCATTTGTGTACTAGGAGCTTTCCAGTTGAAACATTAGTCATAATTAGAGGCTAATATATTATTCAGAATATAAGGCATGAGTGCCCAAGAAGTGAGTCTTAATATCCTCCTTCTAGGTTTTTGATCCAAGAAGATAATGGTGTCGGTAGGGGAAAAAAAACAAATATGTAGCACATGTACACATTCATTAAACTTTTTAAATTGGACTTTGAGGTCTCAGCCAACATGGTCTATAACAGGGGTCAGCAGCCTTTCAGAAGTGGTGTTCCAGGTCTTCATTTATTCACTCTAATTTAAGGTTTTGCATATCAGTAATGTTAATTTTTATAATGTCTCTCGCTATATATAATTAAACTATTATTGTATGTAAAATAAATAAGGTTTTTTAAATGCTTAGGAAGCTTAATTTCGAATTAAATTATATTAAAATACATAGGTGATGGAAGGGAGAGTGCTAATGGGGCTTTGCCCCCCTGAAACATGGCACAGTAGTAGGGCCAGAAGGGAGCCCGGCTGCAGGCTTCCAGAAGCTGCAGCAGGGATGGGGAGGGGTGCATAGGCAGTGGTGAGGGAGGGAGTAGGGCTAGAGCTGGGATGGGGCAGCCACTCAGGGTGGGGTACAGGGCTAGAGCTGGGGTAGGGGTAGCCACTCAGGGTGGGGTACAGGACTGAGCCCCAAGTGGCTTGTCAGGGGGCATGGCTCCTGCTGCTATATGCACCCCGGGAGGCATGTGCCCCCAGATCTGCACGAGGCAGGGTGGGCTGCAGCTGTGTGGGCTGGGGCTGGGCTCTTCCTGGCAGGGTTAGGGAGGCAGACTATGCCTGGGAGCCACCATCCCTCCCTGCAGCCTCTGGATGAACCACGGCTCTGTCCCACGTCCTGCCCCTCCCGGCCCCGCTGTGCAAGGACTGGTGGGGCAGGCGGAGGTCTCGGGGGCTCCGTGTCCTCCAACCTGGTGGCACAGCCAGGTCTGGTCCTGCTGTGGCCCCAGCTCTGCGTTCCCCTGGGTGGTGTAGGGCTGGGAGCGGGAGGGCAGCCATTGCCAGCGTGGCACCTGCTGGGGCTGGCACGGTGTTGGGCAATGCCACTCCCCACCATTACCCTTTCCCCTCCTCCTACCCTTTCCTCTGCAGACTCTGCTGCCCGGGAGGGCCCCTCTCCCCAAATTTTTTTCTTCCTCTGCCTATAAGTGGCAGTCAAAATCATCTTGCGTGCCATAGATTGCTGACCCCTGGCTTATAACAAGAGGATCCTCCAGTACAGTGTAACTTCTTAACCTCTTCTCCTTTCTCATTATGTGTATATTGCTTATTTCTAATCCTGTGTTATTTCAGATGCCCCTATGGGTGTATGCAGATATAACAGTTGCAACAATATCAAAAGCTACAAATCAGGGTGTTTTGATGCAACTCCTACATGTGTGTGATTTTTTTGTAGTTATAAACATATAGCAAAACTGCTCCATCTTTAACCCTTCTTTCTTCAGGGTTAAAGTTTGGGCAGTTTACTTAACTTGTAACATGATAAGATTATGGGGATATAGTAGTTAAATTGTAACAGTTGTTGCAGGTCCACAGCAGCAGGTCTCCCACCCTTTTTAAAGCAGCTGAAAAGTATGCTTCTTGATGTCCATTATAAAGGTGTGCACATACATATTTTTGAAAGAGACATATGTTTTGTCCGGTTTTTCTGTTTTAAGAAAGGTAAGGCCACTATTCCAGTCTATGCCATCTTAAAGAATATCTATTTTTTTGATTGAGTGACTTCCTTATTTGATTCAATTCAGTGTGATTATTGTGCTGCCCTTCCCAACAGTCTCAGAGGGCAAAAAAAGAACAAAACAAAAGGGAAGTAGAAAGTTAACATAAAATAGAGCTCCCTCTACCCCCCTCTGCCAAAACTATCTCATCCTAGCTTTGTTAATACCTACCCAATTAGAAAGGTCTCACAGCACTTCTGAAAGATGTCTCTGCTCAGGATCTGTCAAGCCTTAAGAGGGAGGGAGTTCTAGAGCTAGAGAGCACCTGCCAAGAATGACGTCCCATGATTTTTGCCAAGCGGATTTGGTTTATTGATTGTATTTTTAAGTGATTGCTCTCAGTTGACCTCAGGGATTGCAGTGGGGTGTAAGGGAGAAGGTGGTCCCTTAGGTACGTAGGGCCCAAACCATTTAGCCATTTACTGGTTATATATATAGATTAGGTATAGATAATAGTTTCAGTCGACAAGTTGAAATAAAACACTGTAGTTTGAGAAAATCTAAACATTTTATTTCTTTTTGACATTTCTAAATTGAAACTGCTTATAACTTTTTAGTTCTTTTAAAAATTGATGTTTTGACACTTGCCTTGATATGTGGCAGAATTGGGGTGAAATTGGGTATCAAAATGTTGAAATTTCCTACATGATTACAATTCTGTTATAACTCTCCCTCTGATAATATCCTGCCAGGTAACAGAGATTACACCATAATTGTGTTTAAATGTGGTTTGAATTTCTTGGAAAATTGGAAAATCTTTGACTGAAAACTTACAAAACACAATTTAATAATCATGTTTTTTTAAAACTTACGTAGGTGCATCCAAAGATGGAGGAGCTGGAGCTGTTGACGAGGATGATTTTATTAAGGCATTTACAGATGTACCTACAGTACAGGTAAGACCTTGTCCTTAATGTTCACTTATGTTCAGGAGTAATGTTATAATTGTTTAGTTTTGTTTCCAATAATGTCTGCTTACAAACTTCTTATTAAATATTTTAAATGTTTTTAGGAAATAGATAACTGAAAAATTTGCTGAGTATATTAAAAAAAAAATCTTTTTTGATTCTGCCCCGCCCCCCTTAAGAGCTTGCTTTTATAATTGGGGTTGGGGGAAAAGTTGGCTTTAAGAAAAGTTAACGACAGGTTGATCTGTGTTGCTAATTGCTATCTCTACTTCGGGAACAGATGTTCAAAATATTTTAAAATATAAACTTGGCTAATGCCCTATATGATGCACTTTCAAAAAAAGCTATTCCTAAGTACTTTTAAATGTGTGTGTAAACTACCTGTCTCATGGTCTTTACCATCTGAATAGGTTTAGCCTATCTCCTTCAATAAAACCAAAGCATATATTTTTAAACAATATTTAATTGTAGAATAATCACTTCAGAAATAATTTTAAATGGATAAGCAATTTTATGTGTTATCAGGATCAATCATATTAGCATTACATTTTTTCCTTGTAAATTATGTAAAATAAATATGTTTTTTTCTATGGTGATAACTTCAAACTTCAGGTGGAATCTTGTTTTTTCTCCTCATTAACCACATTTTCAGCTTAATTCCCCTGGTTTGTTTTTAATCTCTTGCCTAACCTTGAACTGAAAAAGCCAGGTTGAAGACTGAATAAAATGCATTTTGCATTTTAGTTACGTCTCATGTTCTGATTATTGGTAGAAAGACTAGAAGTAAAATGCAGAAGAAATCCTTTTCTCTTCAATTTTCTCTGTTTTTCGGAACTATACTTTTCCCTCGTACCGCCAAATTAGGAACAAAAAAATCTTCCTTTCCCTGGTCTAGCAAATTATTAAACACTGTATGGCCAGGCAGGTGCACGGTGTAGATTGATTTATGCATTGTCCTAAAAGCACTCCTTGTTAAAGTTCAGACAGACCAATATATCTTCCCCACGAGTGACTGGAATATATAACTCTGCTAGCAGCTAGATGAATTTGGATGGCTGAACATGTGGTAAGTTAGAGTTAATTTTATAACCTGGTCTCTTGTGACTGACCATCTTAGTGATGCTGTAGCCATGAAATGCTTTTAAAGTTCAATTTCTTTTTTCATATATTTGGATCTCTTTTCTCTAGAGAACTTTGAGTACACTCCAGTATCTACATAAAGCATTATATACGTCTCTAGGAAAGCATCATTGTGGGACCAACCTCTGTTACATAACCCTATTTTAGCTTTCTGGTAAATTAGTGTTGGAAAATTTGTTTAACCTGAAAAGTAACAGGTTTATTCTGAAAGCAAAGGAAATTCTCTTGCAGAGAGTTGCAAGAAAAGTTGCCTAATTGTTAGACTATTTTGTGGATGAATTAGGGCACAGTGCTATTTCATTCTGTGCTTGTGCAATTTATTGGTCATTTCAGTGGACACAGTACAAGCAATATATCTTAGAAATATGGGGCTAAAATGTACCTCAGTGGGAAGTTTAGCTTCCTTTCTTTTCTCACTGCTCTGAGATGAGACTTAACTATAGCTAGGTTATATGTGATGGATGTTGTCTAGAACAGTCCGGGGCCCAAATGTCCTGTGGAGCTTTGGCATCCAGCCCACGGGGCTGGTCCTGGGTTGGCAAATTTGGCGGCGGAGGAGCAGTGGCCATTAATATGACCACCATCCCTGCCCTGCCAAATTCCCAAACCCCAAGCCCCACGTGGCCCATTGGAGCCAGGCTGCTCCCCCACTTTACCCCCATGCGGCTGGGCCATACCTCCTTCCTGCTTGGGGCTGGACCATATTCCTTTCTCTCCCTCTTTTCCCCCAGTGGCCAAACCACACCCACTACTCCTTCTTCCCCAACCTGCATGGAGCTGTGTTAAGGCCAGGCCATGCCTTCTTCCCCTCTGGGGCTAGCTTGGTGCTGGGCTGCCCCTTGTCCCATTCCATGTGGCTGAATGGTGTCTACCACACCCTCCCCAGGTGCTGGATGGGAACCACTGCCTGGATCTGGCCCACAGACTGTGGGGTACTCTCTGTCCAGCCCATGGGGGGAGAGGGTTGAGCATCATTCGTCTAACCCATTCTTAGAAGCACCCAATAATGGGCCTTCTGCAGCATTGTAACCTATTCCTGTTAAACTTCCCTATAGATAAGGTTTTTAAAGAATCTTACTTTCTGAAATTTAAATCAATTACTACTTATTCTGCTTGGGTATCTGAGAAATCATTGATCATCATTCTATATATATGAAAGCCTCTGTATGTTTGTCTGTTGGCAGCATGGGGTGCTACCACAGGGGGACAGAGAGGATGGTGGGGCAGACTTCCCCCTGCCCCCTTGCTTCTTGGAGGCGGCGGTGGCATAAGGGGTGGGGGGCAACAGGGTCAGACCCACTGTGTCAGGGAGGAGGCAGGGGCGGAACAGGGTCAGGCCTGCCATACCAGGGGTGGGGGGAACGCAGTCT